CCAACTTTACCTTTTCTACCAGGCCTGGGAAGAGGTTACGTCATTCCTTTTCTTTCCCTCCCACCCTCCTTGCTTGTCTCTCTTCAGGGACCCCTCTCACGAGCAACTGTTGAAGCAGGAAGTGTCCTTGATTCTGCAGCTGGGGACAGTCAAGCCCAGAGGAGTTCAGAGGGAAGGGATTTTACTTCTGCTATTTCCTTTTCCCCAAGTCCAAATGGGGACCATATCCCATTCTAGAAATAAACTTGTTTGTAAAGAAAGCAAAATTCCGGATGGTCACCTTAGCATCTATCATCCCTTCCCTCCAGAAAGGAGACTGGTACACTGCCCTTGATCTGAAGGACGCATACTTTCACATTTCAGTGATCCCTGCCCCTGGGAGATTTCTGAGGTTTACAGAGGTTTACGCTTCCAGTTTGCGGTTCTACTGTTCGGCCTCTCCACAACCCCAAAGGTCTTCACTAAATGCATGGCTGTTTTAGTGGCCTTCCTGAGGAGGCACAGGACCCAGGTTTTTCCATACCTGGACAATTGGCTGATAAAGGGGTCATACCAAGACACGTATTAGACTAGATAGCCCTGACCAAGAGATTGTTCTTCAGCCAAGGCCTCATGAACGAGGAGAAATCCACACTCAACCCCATGCAGATAAGAGAATTCGTGGGGGCTCACCTAGACTCCACTGTGGCAAGGGCGTCTCTTCCTGGGGCCAGAGCCTTGACTATGAGTTCTATGATCAAGGACCTCCAAAGGTCTCCCATGACAACAGCGAGAACATGTATGAAGCCTCTGGGTCACATGGTGGCATGTACATATGTGGTAAGGTACCACAGACTGAAGCTCTAACCCCTACAAGGGTGGCTGTTAAGTGTACACAATCCGACATGAGCACCACTAGACGTGGTGGTCACACTGCCAGCAGCTGTGCTCCGCTCGCTGGACTGGTGACTGCAGGAGAGGATGGTCTGCACAGGAGTCCCATTTGTCAGACAGAGCTCATCAGTGCAACTGTTCGCAGATGTGTCTGATATGGACTGGGGGGCCCACCTGGGGAATCTCAGGACTCAAGGTATATGGTTCCCTGTGGAGAGTTCCCGAGTTCCCTGCACATAAACGTCAAAGAGCTTGGGGCAGTCAGATTTGCGTGCCAGGCTTTCCTTCCTCAACTGAGAAACAGGGTGGTCTCAGTATTGATGGACAACATTATGACCATTTATTATATCAACAAACAGGGTGGACCTTGGTCCTCTCCCCTTTTACAAGGAAGTCCTACATCTGTGGGAGCTGTGTATTGCCCAGAATATCCATCTCAAGGCAACCTACCTTCTAGGAACCAGCAGTGTTCTGGTGGATGAGCTCAGCAGGTCCTTCAGACCAGATATCATATCAGAGGTCTTCTGGAGGTGGGACTATCCCCATCTGGACCTGTTTGCAACACGGGAGAATGCCCAGTGCCAGAGCTATTGCTTGTACATGGGTCAAGGGCCTCAGGAGCTATTGTATGTTTTCTCCCCGTTCCCACTGATACACATGGTCCTACTCATCATGAGGCTCGGGACCACGGTCATTATGGTGGTGCTGGCATGGCTCCAGCAACATTGGTTTACCTCTCTACTAGACCTGGCAGTGGAAGACCCAGTGATATTGCAGTTGGTTCCAGACCTGATTACTTAGGACCTAGGGGAGGAGAAGCTATGCCACCAGAACCTGTCATCCACCATCTCACGGCATGGAACCTTTGTTGTTAGTGGGGGCAGAGTGACTCTCTTGGAGGAGGTGCAGAAGATCCTCCTGGGGAGTAGAACCAGGGTGGTTTATGAGGCCACGTAGAAATGCTTCGCCTCGTGGGGGGAGCAAGCAGGGGCAGACTTAATGGATGCCTTGTTCCCTCTCATTTTGGATTACTTCCTATACATCAGACACCAGGGTCTTCCAAGGGTTCACCTAGCCACAATTGCGGCTTTTCATCTGGGGGAGGGAGGTAGGACAGTGTTCGCAAATGTAATGGTGAAGTGCTTCCTGAAGGGGGTGGACAGGTTGTTCTCCTATATGAACTTACCTGTACCCTATTGGATCTGAATCTAGTCCTGATGGGTCTCATGAGGGCCTCCTTTGAACCCTTGGTAGCCTGCTCACTGAAGCACCACTATCGTGGAAGGTGGGTTTCTTGATTGTGATTACCTCAGCCAAGAGAGTATCTGAGTTGAGGGCCTTCATATTGGTGACCCCCTACACAGTTTTCTTTAAGGACGAGGTTAGGCTATGTCACCACCCAGCTTTCATCCCTAAGGTAGTTTCACATTTCCGTATGTCCCAAGACATTTACCTACCTGTTTTCTTCCTGAAACCCCACTCTGTGCCTAGGGAGCAGGTGCTACATTCTCCAGACATTAGACGAGCACTAGCATTTTATATCGAAAGGACAAGAGAGTTCCGTAGATCCCCACAATTCTTTATTTCCATAACAGAGAGGATGAAGGGCTCACCGATATTGCCCCAGTGCTTATCCACCTGGATCACTTCCTGCATTAGAGCTTGCTACGACCTTGCTGGTAGGCCAGCACCCCCTCCTACGGCTCGTTCCACGAGGGCACAGGTGTCATCCACAGCTTTTGTTGCACAGGTGCCCATTCTTGACATTAGTAGAGTAGCTACATGGTCCTCTGTGTACACGTTTTCCAGTCACTATGCAATTGCTCAGCAGACCAAGGAAGATATGACTTTTGGGAGGGCTGTGCTGCAGTCCATTGCAAATTAGGTGTTGATAGACTCTGAGCCAACCTCCTAGGTACTGCTAGGGAGTCACCTAATTGGAATGGACATGAGCAAGCACTCAAAGAAAAAACGGTTCCTTGTCTCTGTAACTGTTGTTCTTCGAGAGGTATTGCTCATGTCCATTCCAAATCCTACTCACTCCCCTTCGTTGGAGGATTCTGGCAAGAAGGAACTGAAGCAGTGAAGGGCCAGCAGGGATACATATGTGCCAATATAGCGGTACAACTCCAGGGAGCTCCCGAGCTTGCCCAACAGGTACTGCTAAGGAAAAAAAAAGCTCCAGAGTTTGTGCGTGTACACCTAATTGGAATGGATATGAGCAGCACATCTCGAAGAGTAACAGTTACAGAGATAAGTAACTGTTTTTTTATAAGGTGTAACAAGGAATAAAAAAATGAAATTAAGAAACAGAAAACTGTCTGTTTATACCTGAAAAGTCTTCATAATGATGAGGGTTCTATTACAGAGAGTACTGATCCCACTTGGAGAAAATCCTGCAAGTGGCTCTCAGAGAGGATGAGTAAAAAGACCTAATATTCCTTTTTAATCTCCATGGGATAGACATGACATTTGAATGTTTCTGTAAAAGAGCTGTGAAATAGTAAAGTAACACTTAAATTAGGGATGTTAAAATGTGTTTATTCATGTAAACGTGTCACTCCTGAAAATTTCACACATTCACATGTTGGGGGCAGACTCCCAGCAGGTGGCTTTTCCTGCCTCTTTCCCCCGCTGCCACACTGCTGCCTCTGTATGAGAGGTAGCAGTGGGGTTGCAGGTACATGTGGGGAACTGGCTTAAAAGCCAGCTCTCCGCGTGTAGCATCTCCCACCCCGCCCCTGCTGCCGCCTCTCCAACTGGGGCAGGAGGGAGGGCTGCCTACAACCCAGGCTCATCGATTAATTTGTAAATGTGTACATGGTTTACATCCCTAATTTAAATTATTTTTATACTTTAGAGATCACACCCTGAAAGACATGAATTAAGTCTTCTGTGCAGATTTAGGAAAATAATCTTGCACAGCTCTGCTTTCAATTCACTTTAGTAAGGAAACTGCAACAATAATAGCTAAACATATAATTTACTTTTTCAGTGACAGTTTATGTTCTGTAGAAACTCATGGAATCCCCAGGGAAGTTCCAGGAAGTTATTCAGGCCTTCTCCATTTCATTTTGAGCCTTGATTTTCCCTCAAGGGCACATACATATGTCACAAAAAAATTTTATGAATAAATCAACAAAAGTCCATCTGCCTTGTGGCTCTGCAAATTCTGAAGGATTGTTTATTGTGTGCTTCCAACGTTCATGGCGCTAGTGCAGAGCTGTGCAGACTCCATGCTTCTGTCAGAGATGGTGGACCACAAAGAAGGTCATGTAGGTAAAGAGATATTTAAAAAAGAAATGAAAATTATGGGTTAGAAAGAGCTTAGGGTTGAAGAAGGCTGTATGATGGGAACTTGACCCTGCAGTACCAGCAACTCCTGCACAACTTGTTTCTGCTCACCACGCATTGCAAAAACTTCCCAAAAGATAGTGCACTGGACAGTAACAAGTTGTACATCATGATGCTCCTCATTGCATTGAAACAGGCATTTCTGGTGAACGTGCGCAGCACTGATGCAAGGAGCCAAGCATGCATACTCACAAGCAATGTGATAATTGTGGTGGCTTTATACTGACATAGCTTGTGGCAGCTAAAATGTATAGGATAGTTATTTGTTAATGTCCTATAGTATTAAGTAGTAATCTACTGCTTTTAGTGGGAAGTCCTTTTGTAAAAAACTGTCAACTGGCTCCAGAAATTTCTGATTGAAAATGAAGGTGTTATAACTCTGAAATAGGTAAGGATATTGCTCAGGGTACGTCTACATTGCGGCACTATTTCAGAATACTTCTGGTATCCCAAAATAGTTATTCCGTGTCTTTACAGCTTGCCCATTATTTTGAAATATCTTTCGAAATAACAGGCTCTCTATTCCAATGTCCCTGTAAATCTCATCCCATGAGGCTTAAGGGACATTTCGGAATAGAGGTTTATTTTGAAATTTAGCACTGTGTAGACAGTGCCAAATTACAAAATAAGCTATTTCGAAATACACTCAAAATAAGCTACACAATTTCCATAGCTCAAATTGTGTAGCTTATTTTGAGCTAAAGGTTTAGTATAGACACACCTGCAGTGTGTAAGATACCTGTTTGTGGCTAACAGTATTCTCCATTACATAGGGTGATGCGAGTGTACAGTACACAGACTAAACGTGTAGCATTCAATGTTACCAAGATGCCATCAGGAGCTGAAGGGGAGGTAAACTGTTCTAATACTAACAGTGTTGTTGATTAATGCTTTATATGTTGTTGTTGGTTTTTTTACCTGGGCTACTTTCTCTGAAAGTGAAATTTGGGAAGAACTGTTCAGTTTTAGAAATAATTTAATTCTACATCAGATATCTTTGCATTTGTCTCTTCATTTATTTATTGTATGAATGTGTGGATTTTTTCTTATTGTTTTCCTCTGACTTTGCTGTGGAATAGGGATGTCAATGAGTAGTTGACTACACAATTAACAAATAAGCCTAGATTTATTGGTTAATCTAGTCGACTACTCGTATTGCCTCCTAATTCCTCCCTCTGCAATAGCCCTGTCCGCTGGAGTCTGAGCTCCCCATGGACAGAGGCTGCTCTGAGCTTGGGCCCACTGCAGACAGAGGCTGGTTCCCAGCAGCAGTCCCTGTCCACAGCCAGCCCAGGCCACCGTGGTCAGAGGCTGCTTTGCTGCAGGCTCCCCCATCCCCTTCACACCCCAGCAGCCTCTATCTGTGGAGAGCTCAGCCCCCCTCCCCACAGACATGGGCTGCTGCCACCCTGTGCTGCTGTCTCTGTATCAGAGGCAACAGTACAGGGAGGCAGGCAGCCAGTCTGCGATGGGAACTGGTTTTTAAACTGGCTCCCCTCGCAGACTGGCTACCACCTGACACCCCCGCGTAGTGTCAGAATAGTCAACTAACCACTAAGAATTCATGCAGTTGGTCAACAATTCTATTACCCGCTATCTAACATTCCTACTGTGGAAGTAACTATCACAAATAACTTGCCTCCTGCAAGTTCATCTGCTCCTACAACTTAGCAAATTGACAGTGCTAATGCCCTTGTGTAAAGTTCCAGGGGAGAGCAGCAAAAAATAGTCTGTACACAGAGAATTTATTTTACATAGAATAATTACAAAGATATCTGTTAGGCATCAGCTCTTAAAGTTATTTATAGTGACTAGGGGGCTGTGCTTCCTGATCACTACGTTTGCTAACCCCCCTTCCCTCCCAGCTGCTTTCGCTTCACTGAGAGAGCCTGTTGACATTGATGACGTGATTATGTCATTCTGTCACCTGGCAGGCACATTCTGTCATCCATCAGGAAAAACTTTTATTTTTATATATATATATATA